AGCACTCTGGGAGGCTGAGGTGGATGGATTGCTTGAGCTCAGGAGTTCAAGACCGGCCTGAGCAAGATCGAGACCCCATCTCTACTAAAAACAGAAAAACCAGCTGGGCATTGTGGAGAGCACCTGTAGTCCCCAGTTATTCGGGACAAGCAAGAAGGATTGCTCAAACCCAAGAGTTTGAGGTTGCTGTGAGCTATGATGATGCCATAGCCCAGGATGACAGAGTGAGACTGTCTCCAAAAAAATGAAAAAAGGAAAACAGAATGGGCTGAGGAGGAAGAGAAAGAAGCAGAAAGGGGAGAAGGGGGCTAGAGGGAGACGGAGAGAACAGGAAAGTAAAAGGGGAAACTAAATACGTTTTTGAAATGAGTATTAAGTAAATGCTGGTCACACCCAGGTGGGTCACTGGTTGCACTAATATGTTAATTTTTTTATAGATGCCCTATTACTTCTTCTTAACCTTAAAGCTTGAATATTCCTAATGAATGCTCCCCAGGACAGGACCCCCCTCCCAGGATTCAGTGACAAGGCAGAGCAGTGACGTCAAGCTGAGTGGTCAACTATAATTTCCCAGCACAGTGACCAATGCACAGCAGGTGTTTAATAAGTGTTTGCTGGAAAAAAACTGATTTAACAAATATTAGGGGAAGTTAGAGCTATTTAGAGCATCCTAAGCTTTAAAAGTTAGTACTATGAAAGGTAATCATGGTATCCTACAAAATGTTCATAGTTCGCCTGTGGGAAAACATGTATAATCTGTTCAAAACCCATCTTGATTGGTTTGGTGATTTTTAATGTTTAGAAGAAAAAATACCTTAAATGGAGACATCTTTATTAGAACAAGGAGACCAAGCCGGTGCGGTGGCTCATGCCTGTAATCCTAGCACTCTGGGAGGCCCAGGCAGGTGGATTGCCTAAGCTCACAGGTTTGAGACCTCATCTCTTTAAAGAAAAAAAAAAAGAAAATAGGTGCCTGTAGTCTCAACTACTTAGGGGACTGAGGCAAGAGAATCATTCAAACCCAAGAGTTGGAGGTTGCTGTAAGCTGTGACGCCACGGCACTCTACTGAGGATGACAACGTGAGACTCTGTCTCAAAGAAAAAAAAAGAACAAGGAGACTAATAAATGGAGAATAGAGTGAGGTAAGTCTCCTGAATCAGAGGCTTTTACTTTTTTCTTTTTGTAAATTCTACCCTTTGTGTCTGGATCTATACAGGAGGTTTCTTGTGGGTACTTTATTCAGTAGTGTTTACTCAGAATCAATTCCAGAGAAGGCAGAATTCTTAAGGTCTGACACAGATAAGTGTAAAAAATGTTAAACCTCTTTTTTAACTATCTGCTTTGAAGAATCAGAGTCCAGGTTATTTTACATACTTTAATTTTTTTAACTGGGTACCTACTATGCTTCTGCTTATCTTTAAAAATTACTTCTAGATGCTAGGTATCTTCATTATTTTCTGAATTATTTTTTCCCCTCTAATTAACAGTGACGATCACAGTCAACCTGCTCTTTGCTCTCTAAGTCTTGAAGCAACCTTTGACCAAGAACAATAAATTCTAAGAGTGAGCAGCTAGACATGCAGGGACAAAGCAACATAAAACAAAACAACTAAAAAGGAATTTTTAGACTGTATGTTCCAGTTCTGAGAATAATAGGCCCCCTTACACCTTTTACATTTACCTGGATGGAGCTGAAATACATTTTTCATAGTAAAGTATCACAAGAATGGAAAAATAAATATCCAATGTACTCCATACTAATATAAATCAATATATGAACAATTACATGCTCATAAGAACAATAAGACACTAATATAGTCTAATTGGGGAATAGACAGAAGCAGGAGGGGGAGGGGGAGGACATTTGGCAGAAGGAGGGAGGGCAATAAAAAAAAAAATCCCACCTGTAATCCCAGCACTCTGGGAGGCTGAGGCCAGCGGATCGCCTGAGCTCATGAGTTCAAGACCAGCCTGAGCAAGAGCAAAACCCCCATCTCTTAAGTACTAACCGGGCATTGTGGCAGGCGCCTGTAGTCCCAGCTACTTGGCAGACTGAGGCAAGAAGATTGCTTGAGCCCAAGAGTTTGAGGTTGCTGTGAGCTGTGATGCCACAGCACTCTACTGGGGGCAACAAAGTGAGACTCTGTCTCAAAAAAAAAGAACCACTTCTCTGATTCACTTTGACATTTGCTACTTTTTATGATACTATCAATAAGCTATAAATACTACTTCCATCTTAGTTCACAAATACCTTAACCAGCACATCTGCAAAGATAACAACGGTGGGTTCCTGTCACATGTAACCTTGTGAGGCAAAAAGACGTATGCTTCTTAAGCAGAAATTTCTGAGAACTCACTGAGCTGAATGTATCAATAATTTAGCTAAGTGTTGTGAGGTCATGGCCAATTCCTGGGAATAGCGTAAATCAGCATCAAGGATTTCTATCTGGATACAAAATTTTACAAAGATAAAAAACTATAGTTGATACCCCCTAACGAAACTAAAATTATCAGGCATCAGACAACAGCCTAACTATTTGCTCAAATGGCTACGGGGAAAGACAGCAGTCAGGTCATCAAGACTTCACTGAAGGCGTGCTGAGGACAGGCAGATTTCTACAGAAGCAATTCTCAAAATGCAACCGAGGTCCACAAAGGGAATCCACAAGGTCAAAACAATTATTACAAGAGTATTAACAAGCTATTCTCCTTTCCACTTTTGTTGTCGTATAAGCACATGGTAGAATGTTCCAGAGGCAACATAAGGTATCACTAAGCAGAATAAAGAAGCAAATCTAAGAATCCACCTGCTTTCTTTTTTTGTTTTTTTTTTTTTTTAGACAGAGTCACACTCTGTCACCACCCAGGCTAGAGGCATCAACCTACCTCATAGCAACCTCAAGCTCCTGGGTTATATAGCAATCTTCTTGCCTCAGCCTCCTGAGCCTGTAATCCCAGCACTTTGGGAAGCTGAGGTGGAAAGATGACTTGAGCCAGGAATTCAAGACCAGCCTGAGCAAGAACAAGACTCTGTCTCTGATAAAAATAGGAAAATCAGCTAGACATGGTAGCACGCATTTGTAGTGACAGCTACTTGGGAGGCTAAGGCAAGAGATTTCCTTAAAAAAAAAAAAAATTAATTAATTAATACTTTTTAAATTCCCAGTTTTAATGATGTATAAGTGACTGGAGTCATCGGTTTTTGGGGGGGTTTTTTTTGCAGTTTTTGGCCGGGGCTGGGTTTGAACCCACCAACTCTAGCATATGGGGCCAGCGCCCTACTCCTTTGAGCCACAAGTGCTACCCAGGAGTCATCAATTTTTAAGCATTTAAAAGGGTCCTGAGATTTTAAAAGTCTTAAGAACTGTGGTCCTAGGTGTTTTCAAATTAGCTGTGAAGCTGAAAAAAAAAAAATCTACTTATTTGGGTCTCTCTGCTATGTGAGATTTTAACATGATAGATGTAGAAGCTTGAGATTCTCACCTTCGTGATGAAATAAGAGGGAAAGTGCAGTGAGCAGAGCCCTGCCCTGAGAAGACTGAAGGAGGAGGCTGGAAACTAAACTTCAGTCTTGACCCCTGGCCAGCGGCTGACTGAGGATGGTCACTCAACTGCACATGACCTCCCTGGGCCTTCCTATCCCCACCTCTAAATGAGACGGTTTAGTCATTTTCAAAGGAAGGTATATCAGACTCTCTGGAGATCTTATTTTTTCACACTACATATTTGCTCTCTGGCTTCCTCTGAAAACACTGATACATCCCTACCTTGAGAAACAGAACACATTATAGGAGCTGTTACTGATGGGAATGGCTTGCCCTTGGGAATGCTGTGATGCTGTGGAGATAGAAAAAGCCTGAAAAACCACAGGACTGAATTATTTTAAGGTCCCTTCTGAACATAAATTATCAAAGAAGAAACCATTTCAGTCACGCATGGCGACGATGCACCCCCACCCCTTTCTGCTGGGTGCTCCAGGCTTTTTGTCCATGTGCTGGAGGAAAGAGAGGGAACAGCAAAGCCCACACGCCCAGCCCATGTTAGACCGACCCTCGAGGTCGACAGAAGCTCTGGGACTGCTTGCTTGTCACCTGGCAATGAGCATTAGTACTTCCATGAGCTAGTGTCCTGACATGCCATAGAAGATGAGATCCACTGTATTTCACCCTTTGGAAAAACCCTAAAACAGCAATGTTTTCCCCCAGACAGAGTCTTGCTCTGTTGTCCGGATGAGAGTGCAGTGGCATTATCAAAACCCACAGCAACTTCAAACTCCTAGGCTCAAGTGATCCTCCTGCCTCAGCCTCTTAAGGCACAACTGCTAACTTTTCCAATTTTTGTAGAAGTAGAGGCTTGCCATATTGCTCAGGCTGGTCTCAAACTCCTGGCCTCAAGTGATCCTCTCACCTCAGCCTCCAAGGTGTTAGGATTATAAGCGAAAGCCACTGGGCCTGGGCCAGGCAATTCTTATTTGGGACAATGTTCTTAATGTGGAAGCAGAAAAAAGAGTGGAGCCTTCCCAGTGAAATTCTTCAAAAAAGAATGAGAAACTTTTATCGTGGATTAAGAATCTTGAAGGGGTGGGGATAAAAAAGAAAAAAAAGGAAAGAATATTGAAGGAACCTGCTACTTCTTTGGCACCAGTCGAACTGAACATGACCTGTTTGCTTACCTTGTAGCCAAACAGGAAGAGTCCAAAGAAAAGGCTGTACAGGTCAGCTGTCAGGATGCCCAGGTTGACAGAGGTGGCACTGGTGACTTTAATCACCAGTGGCATGAAGCTGTATAGGCAAAACATACAGAGGGCAAACGCCACAAAGAGCAAGGCTGTGGATAAAACGGAATATCTAATATTATGGGAAGAAATCAGAAGACAAAAGGGCTTGAGGCCTGGCTGCCATGTAAACCTCCCTGAAACTTTAATATATTATCTACAAAACTCCCTAAAACTTTAATATATTATCTATCTTATTAACAGTTAGCCTTGAAAATGGGACTACAAAACTCTTTGAAAAAAAATATCAATAACTAGTTGTGATGTAGATAAAAATCCAGCATGAGTTGGATGGTCAAGGCTATAAAATCTTGCTTATGGTGTGACTGAGTCAATGGCTCTCCCACTTCTTGCCATCCACCCCCCCGGGGCAGAGTGGTGTCTGTGATAAAGGTCATTAAAAGCAAAATCGATATCATGTGTCAAGAAGAATCACTCACTTATCTTTTCTTTGTGTTTATTTGTTTGGCTGGACATGATTCATGTAATTGGATTCAGAATAAAGTGTTTTTAAGGCATTGAAGACAGTCATTAGGTCCACTGTATTTGTTCATCTCATTCAATTAAACGCTCCCAGACAGCACAGTGTAACTAACCATCCTCTCTAGGACAGGGCTGGTCATGTGAATGCTGACCACATCAGCCACATCTCGACTTTACAAACTCTTCTCTAATCTCACCCCATATCCAACTCTGTGTGTGCATGCATCTTTTTCTCTCTCTCTCTAGCTGGCAATCTAAGTAATTTAACTGAATTAAATTATTCAAGCATGGGCTACAATCTTCGATGACATTTATGTACATTTAACTTCTTTCCACCTATCATCAGATAAAGTTCAAATCCTTCCTGTGCCATCACTATGTCCTTCTGCTTCATTTATTGTGCCTAAGAATATCAAATGACAGGAGCAAGGGAGATGGGGGAAGAGTCCACACCATCAGTGACGCAGGTTAATGCTTCACAAATTACATCAAGTAGACAAAAACCGTCTAATGAAAGCTGCTATGACCGAAGGTCAGTCTCCAGCCTTGTGCAGAATTCCTAGTAAATAGAGGCTATTCCTGCAGATAAAGATTAAGAATTAACTTTTATGGAGGTCCACCTACCAGTTCTCAGAGACATGTCAATGTGAACCTCTGTAGCTGGTATACATCGAATTACTCTGGGATTTTACAAAGATGCCTAAATATTATTAAAATAAGGCATTTATCTCTGGATGTTCATTTTCATTAAAGGGAAGAACTGACTAAAAAGAATTATTTACATACCGATTTTCCAGTCCCAGTGAATGCCAGCAATATCCTTGTATTCCACAATCAACCTAAGATTAAAATAAGAGGTCACAGAGAGATCCACAGCAAAGGATCTTCAGCAAAGGTGAAGGAATTCTTATGACTTTTGGATTTTTCTTAGAAAAAAATAACTACGTTTAATAAAAATGACAAAGAATCAAACCAGATGAGTTCATAAAAGTATGTTTGACTTCTTTACAAGTGCTCTCTAATATTTTCTGGAGATAACTGGGGGGAAAAAAAAAACAAAAAAAAAACCCCTTACTGGTGATGCTCCTATCACACTGTAATCACAAATACTAAGCCTTATATATGTTTAATAAAATAAAGCATAATTCTTGACATTTGATAGACATCTGATAGACACTTAGCAAGTTACTGATTTCAAATGTGAATCCGGGCCAAATGAACAATCGTATTAGTAGTTTAAAAGTCATCATCCATGATATATGTATTGCTTATTATGTTTTTAGAAAGAAATCCGAGAATCTTACAGCTGTATGCCACTGATAATTGTTCCAAATACGCCCACCATTCCCAAAAACTCCTGTCTGCTCAGCTTCTTCACGATGTATTCTTCACAGACATTAGAAATGCCGTAGAGGGAAGCCCCAAGAAGGACCAAGATGTCACCAATCAGTACGTCACTGCCTGCAGGAAGACGGACCACAAAGGGTACACTGTGAACAGGTGACTAAAAACAACAGCTTGCCCTGTGACCTGTGTCCACCCAAGTAAGACTTTACAGAGAGAGAAACCCTGGTTCCTACAAGTATAAAGCCTCTCACTTTTCTAACTTTCTAGTATAATTCTGTTGTGATTTTTCATAATTTGGAGGACCAATAGTCTGGAAAGTGGTGGCATATGCCATAAATTAAGCTCTTAGAAAATGATTCTAGGACAAGGACAAATTAATGGAATTTATTAAAGGGTTACAGGCCAGGTGAGTTGGCTCGCACCTAGAGTCTTAGCACTCTGGAGGCCAAGGCAGGAGGACTGACTGAGCTTAGGAGGTTGGAATCCAGCCTGAGCAAGGGTGAGACCCCCATCTCTACCAAAAACAGAAAAATTAGCCAGACATGGTGATGTATGCCTGTAGTCCCAGCCACTCCAAAAGCTGAGGCAGAGGATCACTTGAGCCCAAGAGTTTGAGGTTGCTGTGAGCTATGATGCCACAGCACTCAACTCTAGGGAAACTGAGTGAGACTCTGTCTCAAAAAAAAAAAAAAAAGGGTCACATCAGTATAAGGAAGGAACTTACTTCAAGGTAATTTTCTCTTAATTCAAGGAGACATTGAAACCATTTGTAGATTGGGGGAATTCCTAGACTTTAATTAGATTTTACACTTATGCTATCAATTGTCTGAATTTGGTGCAAAGTAGATCAGAGTGTCCTCATCCACAGAGAGGCCTAAAAAGGGGTCATCCCATAAAGACTAAGTCTCCTTTCAAAACAACAACCAAAAAAACCAAGAATCTACCGTAGATTTTCCAGTATCCAATCCAAATGTATGAGGGGAAAAAAAAAAGATTATCACAAAGATTATTATTATTATTATTCCTTGTGGGAGTGGTTACAAAATACCAAAAAGAGGTAAATCTGAAAATAAAATTTAAAAGGTAGCTAACCAGGACACATTTTCTGCCTTTCACTATACTTTTGCAAAATAAAAGTGAAAACATAAGCAAAGCTCTGCTGTGACTAAACCACAAATAAGTTACACCGTCTTACCTGAACTGTCTTGCCTCCCTGCTAATATGTCTGCACCAACCATGGTTCCTACACCCAACAGACAGACAGCCACAGCGATGAAGTGGGTGACTCGGTATCGCGCATGAAGAATGAACCACGAGAGAGCCATCAACACAGGAATCCCAAAGCAATCCAGAAGCTGCGTGAAAAGAGAAATGAAGAGCTAAAACATCGCTCATTAGCTAGAAGACAGGCAAATAGGTAAGAATAGGAGTCAGTGTTTGTGCAGCACTTATCACTGCCAGGCCTGGACTAAGGGCTCCCTCTGGATTACTTTAATCCTCACAACTCTATGAGACTGATGTTACAACTTCATTTATAGATGAGAAAATGAAGCTATAAGAGGAGAAATGGGTCACCACAAGTCACACAGTTAAAAATGGGAAAGCCAGTTGCTGAATCGCAGAATTCCTCCCACAGACCTGTGATTTCCCTCTCCAGTCCCACTAGTGTTTATCCATCAGCCCTGAAGGAAGGCAGACCGTCCTTCCTGCGCACATCCATGCACTCAGGGAGAAAATATTTATTAAACATTTCAAATGTGCAACACACTGTGAAAGGAGCTGGAAAGAGACCTCGCTTGAGCAGAATGGATAGGAACTAGAAAAGACAGAATAAAAAATCTTATCATCAGATTGTTCACCTGCAGTTGGGCTAAGTGCTACTGAGCAGTACAGGTTACTGTGACAGGCCACACACACACAGTGTGTGACCCCGGACACAGTCCAGCCGCGCCCCAGGAGACAGGCACTTGCTCAGAGCAAACGCTCTTCTCACCTCTATCACATGCTCCTCCGGCACCTAAGACCTTGGTCCAGAAAACACCTGCTATACCCTAATACTGCCCATCTGAAAGGCATGCCAAAATTACAATCAATCTGAAATCATTTACAATATAAAAGAAAAACAGAGATGGCACTCACTCAGGTCTTTGGGGGGTTTTTTGTTTATTTGTTCGTTTGTGTTAAGACAGAGTCTCACTATATTGCCCTGCGTAGAGTGCTGTGATGTCATAGCTCACAGCAACCCCAAACCCTTGGATAGCTCACAACAACCCCAAACCATTGGGTTTAAGTAATCCTGTTGCCTCCCAAGTAGCTAGGACTACAGGTGACTGCCTCAAGGCCTGGTTAATTTTTGTATTTTTAGTAGAGATGGTGTCTCACTCTCGCTTAGGCTGGTTTCCAACTCCTAGGTCAAACAGTCCACCCACCTCAGCCTCTCAAGAGTGCTAGGATTACAGGCACAAGCCACCGTGTCCAGCCACTCAAGTCTTGAATTCACAAATTTTATGTGAATAAGGATACCTTAATGTGCATTGAAGTATATTAGATGAAAAAATGTATTCCTGATACTACTACTAGTACTCCCAAAACTGTTTTATTTTCACCCTGTTGTCTATTTTTTAGACCTTGTCACTGATTCTCTCTAGATCTGTTTAGTCGTAGACAAGTCAGGCCTGTCCATCTCCAGCCGTCCATTCGGTCCTGTCCAGAGCTGTTTGCTCATTGCCTTTCACATTGGCATCATCACTGGAGTCCAGCACACCACGTGTAGGAATAGGCATCCTGCCTGGTTTCTTATTCCAGCTGCAGAATTCTAATTTCCTAAGTGCTTTAGTGAGCCTGCCTGAATAACAAACCATTAAATGATGGGAAGGATAATAGCTTGTCCCGGAAGACACCAGCAGAATCCAGCCATGATGGCTTAACAAAGTCTGAACTACATTACTTAAACAAAAAAAGTATAAAAATACACTCTAAAAACTATCACAGAAGACTCCCTATCCTTGCGTCCTAAAATCAAAGTTTAATCTGCTCTATCTTTAACAATTTTTGGTGAGCAATGAGTGGCCCTATCCTCAGGGAACTGCCTATGTCATGCTCAGAGCTCCAGAGGGCTCAGGCCCGAGTCCTGCCACTGGCCGGCTCTAGCTCATCAGTCTTAGAGTGAAATATGAAATAAAGAGATCACAGCATGTGATCGCACAGGCCCCCTCCCAGTCTAACATTCCAAGACTGCTCATCTGATGCCGTCACCGTCATTCATTCATTCACATGAACCTCTTTTTCAGAAGGTATTCCTGGCGATGGGTATCTTCTCTTTGATGTTTTCAGTTCCAAGAGTCTCATTTAATTTAATATTTCAAAACGATTATACAGTCACAGTAAGATCCTGGGGACGTGAGTATAAAAATGAGTTGGACCTTATTAGAGGTACAAATATAGGAAAGAAAAGAAAGTGAAATTGAATTAGGCCTTAGAGAATGGGAGGAGGTGTTCAAAAAGGATTGTGCTCTAGAAAGAACATGGCAGCAGAGACAAAGCAGTCTGTGCGTGGGGAACCGGCCAGTGTGGCCGTACAGTGGGACTCGAGCAGAAACCTACCAGCCACATCATGAACGTACAGGAACTACCTCACCACTATTTGCCATCACAGAATCTTCAAAGAAAGCCTTAAGAAGGAGGTTCAAGGACTTACCTAATCCAAATTTCCACCCTCTCCGATTATCCAGACCAGAGATTTACTCAACTAGAGAACCAGTTTGAATTATTCCAGGGCCAGGGACCTCTGCTGCTATCAGGAGCTTTAGTTTAGATGCCTTTTTATATAATATGTTCCTTGCTAAGACGATATAAGTACATGACTTTTTTTTTAGAGACTGAGTCTCACTTTGTCGCCCTCAGTAGAGTACCATGGCATCACAGCTTACAGCAACCTCCAGCTCTTGGGCTTAGGCGATTCTCTTGCCTCCCAAGTACCTAGGAGCACAGGCACCCGCCACAATGTCCAGCTATGTTTTTGTTGCAATTTGGCCGGGGCTGGGCTTGAACTCACCACCCTCGATATATGGGGCCGGCAACCTACTCACTGAGCCACAGGCGCCGCCCCATTACATGACTTTTGACAACCAAATGCTTAAGTTTCGCTAAGAGGCTAGGATGACAGAAATCATTGATGGTACAAGGCGTGAGCTTTAGTACCAAAAATCCAAACTGTAAGTGTTCTGGTTATCTGTGTTTAGATCTCATACCAATCCAAACATTCTTTCATTATTAGACAGCAAAGTTTCCGGAAATTTTAATTAATTAAAATGTGTGTGAGATCGTGAGAGTAGATGTGACTAGAAAAACCAATCTCTACCTGCTGATGTGTGCGTACTCAGCGCTAACTGTGCCAACACCTACTCCCACCATTTGTGGTAAACTTGATCCTAGGGGAACTCGTGGTTTTAACTTTTATGAAATTCTGGGTTCTTTATGTACCTCCTATGATTTCTGTCATAACAAAGTATTTCCTAATTTCTAGCTTTTCTAATGACAAAGCAAGCCCAATGGTACAGAAAATACTTTATAAAATGCATTCTGTGGCTCGGCGCCTGTGGCTCAAGCGGCTAAGGCGCCAGCCACATACACCTAAGGTGGCGGGTTCAAATCCCCAGCCCGGCCCGCCAAACAACAATGATGGCTGCAACCAAAAAATGGCCAGGCGTTGTGGCGGGCGCCTGTAGTCCCAGCTACTTGGGAGGCTGAGGCAGGAGACTCGCTTGAGCCCAGGAGTTGGAGGTTGCTGTGAGCGTGATGCCATGGCACTCTACCCAGGGGGATAGCTTGAGGCTCCGTCTCAAAAAAAAAAAAAAAAAAAATGCATTCTGTTAGTAACCATGGAAAAATACTAAGTGTTCATCAATCTATATCTTTTCCAAGTAAAATAAGTCTATTTTCATTCTAATTTTTCTGATCTCTAAAATTTGGAGAGCAAATAAACACATGTCTGTGGAACAGGCATTGTGATTCATGCTTATAACTAAAGCACTCTGGGAGGCTTAGGCCTCAGCAGGAGGATCTCTTGAATTCACAAGTTGGAGACCAGCCTGAGCAAGAGCAAGACTCTACCAAAATGTAGAAAAATTAGCCAGGCATTGCAGCAGACATCTCTAGTACCAGCTACTGGGGAGGCATCAGCCTGACTCACAGCAACCCAGATCACGTGAACCCAGGAGTTAGAGGTTGCTAGGAGTTAAGCTAATGCCAGGGCACTCTAGCCTGGGCAACAGACTGAGACTCTGCCTCAGAAAAAAAAAAGAAAAAGAAAAAGAACACGTCTGTTTTTTGCACAGTAAGAAAAGTGATGCATCAGAACGTTATAAATTCATTAAACTGTGACAACTTAACTTGGCATTGGAGTCTACCTCACATTCACTTCCCTTTATAAAACATTTTGTTGTTTTTAACAGTAAGTCAGTGTCAGGGCACATCCCATGCTGTGCTAACGTTGAGACAACTGAAATCAGTCTTCCTCAGCTGCACGAAGTTGAAAAGCACTGCGATGTAGGGACATTTTTCTTTCAATCCAGCAAAAATAAACCTAACAGCAAAATAGGGATGGGAGTTTTGCCTTTGGCTACCACCTCTCCCCAAAATTCCTTCCAGTGGTTCCTTTGTCATGAATATCCTTTGTATAGTGTTATACAAAGGTATATTTACTTTCTTTTCTTTTCTTTTGAGACAAAGTCTCACTCAAGTTGCCCTGGGTGGAGTGCCCCAGCATCACAGCTCGCAGCAACCTCAAACTCTTGACTCAAGGGAGATCGTCTAACCCCAGATTCCCAAGTAGCTGGGACTGTAGACATGCGCCACCAAGCCCGGATAAAGCATGGGGTCTCTCTCCTGCTCAGGCTGGTCTCCAACTCCTGAGCTCAAGTAATCCACCTGCCTCAGCCTCCTAGAGTGCTAGGATTACAGGCGTGAGCCAGCGTGCCGGCCAGGTATATTTACTTTTCATATGCCATGTTTGAGCAGCACACAAGACAGAACTCTTATCAACATCACAGCATCAACTGCCAACTAAATATTTATGCTTATTTAGGTAGGAACTGTTCTAATCTGTGACAGCATTAGCAGTTTGAGAACTCATTTACTTATTTATGTTTTTACTAATTCTAGAAAACATTACTCATTAGAGCAGATGCTCCCCTGGGAGACACATACCATCCACCTGTGCTTGGGTTCTCTCCAAGTGAACAGGTTTTCAATGAAAGTTAACACACGTGGCTCGGCGCCTATAGCTCAGCCGGCTAAGGCGCCAGCCACGTACACCTAGGGTGGCGGGTTCGAATCCCCAGC